TGGTTCGGCGTCTGCAGTGATGCGGACGCTGAGCCGATCTGTCGTGGGGAAGAGGGAGCTGAGCCAGAAAGCCAGGCTCTCGATTTACCGGTCGATCTACGTCCCAATCCTCACCTATGGTCATGAGCTTTGGGTAATGACCGAAAGAACGAGATCGCGGATACAAGCGGCCGAAATGAGTTTCCTCCGTAGGGTGGCCGGGCTCAGCCTTAGAGATAGGGTGAGGAGCTCGGACATTCGGGAGGGACTCGGAGTAGAACCGCTGCTCCTCCGGATCGAAAGGAGCCAGTTGAGGTGGTTTGGGCATCTGGTCAGGATGCCTTCTGGACGCCTCCCCGGGGAGGTGTTTCGGGCATGTCCTGCCGGCAGGAGGCCCCCGGGTCGACCCAGGACACGTTGGAGAGGTTACATCTCCAATCTGGTCCGGGAACGCCTTGGGGTCCTGCCGGAGGAGCTGGTGGACAAGGCCGGGGAGAGGACGGCCTGGAGCTCCCTAATTGGGATGCTGCCCCCGCGACCCGGACCCGGATAAGCGGAGGAAGACGAAGATAAATAGCTTATATAATGTGTTCTTTTTTTTACAAGCATTTTGGATCCCCTTTGTCATCCACGGCTTCTCTGAATATCGATTTCTACAACTATGTCTTATCATCGGACAATGCTTATCATATATACTTTTGTAAATATCCAGAAATAAGTTATACGCAATATTCACATCATGTTCACTATATATATTACTCCAGTTAACACTACGTAGTTCCGTTTTTAAATTTTGTAAATCTTCTTCCTTTCTTCTCCTTTTATACATTAAAGTTTTAGCTGGTTTTACTTTCTTTGGATTGCAGTCGTGGATAGCAAATACAGGGAGATGATCTGTTAGGTCTGTTATCAATAGTCCACTATGTATAATACTTTCTACATTATTAGTAAATATATTATCAATAAGAGTGGCACTATCAGCAGTTATTCTACTTGGTTTCTCAATGAGGGGAACCACGCTCATACTGTACATTAACTCAGGAAATTCATCAGTTTTCTTATGTGCTGTAGCTTTCAGTAGATCTATATTAAAGTCTCCACACACATATGTTATCTTACTTTTGTTTAACATTAAAATACTTTCCATTGTAACAATAAATGTGTCAATGTCACTTCCTGGTTTCCTGTATACACAATGAATCACTATGTTTTTTTGTTTGCTTAATACTCACTTCAATGGATATACATTCCATAACTTCATCAATAACCATAGACAAGTTTTCAGTAAATTTATATGAAAGGGATTGATCAATGAAAAACGCCACCCCTCCACCCTTTCCATTCCTATTGATACCATGGAAATTGTAACCTTGCAAGAAAAAATCCTCACCGTGCTCTGAATCTATCCATGTTTCTGATATTGCAATGATGTTAAACTGCCTCACAAAATTATCAATATAATCTTTAATATTCTGAAAATGAGCATAAAGACTTCTGCTATTAAAATGAATGATAGATAAGCCTTGCTCATATTTAATAGTTGCATTAAACTGTTGGTCAGTAAAATAACCACTTAATGAATGTGTGCTACTATGGAAATTTTGTTCTGGATCAATGTCCTGTTCAAAATCACCCATGAAGAAAAATAATTTACATATAGAAAAAAATTTAAGTAAATAAAACAACAACACCCACAAACTAAGTAAAAAACTAAATTAAAGAATGACCAACATAACTGTAACCATATCACTTAATATTTTCCAGTTGCTTGATATCTCTGATCCAGAACCCACGACTATTTTCCGGAGCACCTTTCTGTTTGATGAACACCTTACAATTCATAGTCCAGGTAGACTCTACGTATCCCTGCTTTTTCATTTGTCTCGCTCTACGAGCAATGTCTGCATTTTTCTTCGTCAGATTTTCATTCAAGTACACATTTGTTCCCTTTAATTTCCTCCCCTGTTTGAGCAGATCCACTTTGTGCTTCCTACTATTAAAGCGTATCATAATAGCTGGTATCACAGATTTATCCTGATTTTTCTTGAAAGGTAATGAATGGCATGCCTCAATGTTTATTTTATCAATTGAAATGTCTTTACTTTTCAGAAATGACACAACCTGCTCTTCAGCTGTATCATCTTGGTCAGCCCCATTGTCATTATCTATTCCCTTTACCGCTTGGAGGTAGCTTTTAGGCCTAATTTTAAGACCTGTAATAATTATATCATTCATTCTTGAATGATACTATACTACTGTTATAAGTTTTGGGAAAGATTTAATAACATTAATGGACAAGGTTGAGAAAGAATTAAATGTATTAAAGTGTTGGTTTAACTTAAATAAATTAACTTTAAATTTAAATAAAACAAAATTTATCATATTTACTAATAGAGCAATTTCAATGGATACACATCTCAAAATAAATAATACAGAAATTGAAAGAGTGAATGAAATAAAATTCACATTGTATTTGTGTTTCCTACAGATGTTCAACAGCTGGTGCTGGTTAAAGAAGAAGCTCCTGATGAGGACCAGCAGGACCCAGAACACCTCCACATAAAGGAGGAACAGGAGGAACTCTGGACCAGTCTGGAGGGAGAGCCGCTCCATCTGAAGGAGGAGACTGATGCTGCCAGGTTTCCATTCTCTGTAGTTACTGTAAAGAGTGAGGATGATGAAGAGAAACCTCTGATCTCACAGCTTCATCATCAGAAACTAGAAGACAGAGATGTTCCAACCAGCAGCTCAGCTGACCAGATGACAGCAGAAACTGGTGGAGGAGCAGAGAGTAGCAGGAACGCTGATCTGAACCTTCATGAACAGACATCTGACTCTTCAGAGACTGAAGTTAGTGGAGATGATGAAGAAGATGATGATGTGAATGTAGATTTTGAGCTGTCAGACTCTGGGTCTGAAACTGGAGACGAAGACAGTGACTGCACTAAGAACAGGTCTTCCGAGTCAGATATTAGGACTGTCATCAAATCCTTTAACTGTCCTGAGTGTGGTAAACATGCGAGAGTGACAGGTCATTCACCAAAAATGTCTTCGAGTTGTTTGGTTAAAAAGAAAAGTGTCAGAGTGAAGAAACATGTAGACTCATGCAGGAAATTCCAGAAAGAGCCAAAATCATTTAGTTGTGATGACTGTGGAAAACAATTTAGTGTAAATTCAAATTTAAACAGTCACATGAGGGTCCACACAGGACAGAAGCCTTTTGCCTGTGAGCTCTGTGGTCAGAGCTTTAGACAAAAGTCAAATTTAAACAGTCACATGAGAGTCCACACAAGAAAGAAGCCCTTTGCCTGTGAGCTCTGTGGTCAAAGATTTAGCCAAAAGTCAAATTTAAACAGTCACATGAGAGTTCACACAGGACAGAAGCCTTTTGCCTGTGAGCTTTGTGGTCAAGGATTTAGCCAAAAGTCAAATTTAAACAGTCACATGAGATTTCACACAAGACAGAAGCCTTTTGCCTGCGAGCTCTGTGGTCAAAGATTTGACCGTAAGAACACTTTAAACATTCACATGAGAGTTCACACAGGACAGAAGCCTTTCGCCTGTGAGCTCTGTGAACAAAGATTTAGCCAAAAGTCAAATTTAAACAGTCACATGATGGTCCACACAGGACAGAAGCCTTTCGTCTGTGAGCTCTGTGGAAAAAGATATAGCCGTAAAGAAACTTTAAAAATACACATGAGAGTCCACACAGGACAGAAACCTTTTGCCTGTGAGCTCTGTGATCAAAGATTTAGACAAAAGATTTCTTTAAGCAATCACATGAGAGTTCACACAGGACAGAAGCCTTTTGCCTGTGAGCTCTGTGGTCAAGGATTTAGCAAAAAGATTACTTTAAGCAATCACATGAGAGTTCACACAGGACAGAAGCCTTTTGCCTGTGGGCGTTGTGGTCAAAGATTTGACCATAAGACAACTTTAAACAGTCACTTAATAGTCCACACAGGACAGAAGCCTTTTGCCTGTGAGCACTGTGGTCAAAGCTTTGGCCGAAAGACAACTTTAAACAATCACATGAGAGTCCACACAGGACAGAAGCCTTTTGCCTGTGAGCACTGTGGTCAAAGATTTGGCCGAAAGGCAACTTTAGACAATCACATGAGAATCCACACAGGAGAGAAACCTTTTGCCTGTGAGCTCTGCGATCAAAGATTTGGCCGTAAGGCAACTTTAAATGATCACATGAGAGTTCACACAGGACAGAAGCCTTTTGCCTGTGAGCTCTGTGGTCAAAGATTTAGCCATAAGGTAACTTTAAACAGACACATAATAGCCCACACACGACAGAAGTCTTTTGCCTGTGAGCGATGTGGACAAAAATTTAGCCATAAGACATATTTAGATAATCACATGAAGGTCCACACAGGACACAATGAAAAGGAGCCACAAAGGTGTGGTTCACTGAAAAAACAATATTTATTGATTATTTCTGGTAATAATTGGTCACAGTTTTTCATGCAGGGTGACAATGGCAATAACCTCCTACACGTATCTCCTGTATTAGCTTCTGATAAACATGTCGAGAATAGAGAGTGAAACTCTAGGATTTTAAATTCCCCAGAGATCTACATCACGCTGAGTTAGCATTCACAGACTCACCAATCTTGACTAAAAACTTTCCTTGTAGTTTGTACATCCTAGATACGAATCTTGCACCCCTGGTTGTTGTCCTTTACCCTACTACCCACCTAAATCTGTAAATTAATCTCACAGAGAAGTGTAATTTCTCACAGTCAGCGTATAAACGATCAGCTGTTACTCTGTGTGCCGTTTGCTCCCACCGAACTGGGCTAAAGGGCTTTGGTTCACTCTGCTCCTTCTGCATGGAGCTGGCTGCAGGAAAACTGGAAATTAACCAAGGTTATCTCCTTGACTATGCTGAGGGTCTGCCCTCATCAGAAATTACTGTGCAGTGATTTTCTCCAAAAGACTGTGTTAAATTGCTCTGAAAGAGCATATTCCAACTTCAGCGCCAAGAGACACTTCATTTCCCATGATGCTTTGCATACGGAAGCAATGTGATGACGTCATCGCCAAGGCGGAGAACGGGTTCTGTACATGGACAGTTTCCCCGCCAGCTGGAGATTATAAATGTCAGCGAAAAACGAAACTTATTGTTCTTTTGTCCAGTTTACCTGGCGGTGAAGGACACGCTCGTTGCACGCTCCAATCCACGTGAGCACGCGGGAGGCCTGGCGGCTTAAGTGGATCAAACACCGAACCGCTGAAAAGCAGGGTTTGGAAACCCAGCAGATCTGCTCTCTTTTGCTCAACTCCAGCTGATGTGCGAGGACACAGAACCTGGCTGGGAAACAGCGGAGCTCCATCAGACCGACGGGAAGACACTCGTTGCCCACCGGACAGCGTGCGAGGCCTGGCTGTCGGAGTGGACGAAGCCGAACTGCGGATAAAACAATGGAGGACCATCAGATCTGCAGCGTGAGGAACAAGGGGACGCCTTTGGTTCACTAACGCATGAGTTTGATTTTATTTTATTCATCTTCCTATCTCTCTTCTCCTCTCGTCTCTTCTAGACCACAATAAGCAATTACACCACGCTATTGCTTCAAAATACCCACGGTTTTCCTCTTTCCCGTACCAAACTCCGCCGTCGGGTTATTTGGTAAAGAATAAACTGTTTATTGATCATCGTTAATATCTTTGGTCGTCAGCTGTGGCCAGGCTGGTCGACTCTGTTTGGATTAAATAATTTACGAGTGATCTTTGATGTTTGTTAACTTTTGAAGTGTTTAAGTTCAGTTTAACTGTAATTGTAAGTCACTAAGAGCAAGCTAATTCTTTTGTCTGCATCTGAGAGAGAAAAAGTCACAGCTCACACATCTCAAGCTCACACACGCACACTCTCTGTGAGGACAAGGACCCATTCATACACCCTCCATCTCACACACACACACACACACACACACACACACACACACACACACACACACACGCACGCACACACACACACACACACACACACACACACACACACACACACACACACACACACACACACACTCATACACGTTTTTAGCGTTTGTGGGGACTCACCACTAAAACAAATCCATCACTTGGGGACATCCTCCATTTTACACACACATTTCGCGGAAAAGTTGCATCATTTTAACAACCACGCCCCTCCACCGCGCCTCCGCACGGCCCAGAATTTCCGCAACGCGCACCTCGGAAAATTTCTAACCACACGGACGGACGGACGGACGCGGAAAAACATGGCGGACCGGCAAGAACTAGTGTGGCAGAGGTTCGTAAATACAGACATTTGTATGCTTCAGCTCTCAGAGATCACCGTGATCAACATGTTGTTAATAATTCTTGGAGAGAAATAGCTCGCACTGTCGGAAAAGACGAGGACGCTGTTAAAAATGCTGAAATGCCGTGTTGAAAACAGTAATTTCTACTTCTACTATGGTGTAGTGTTGGATGTTTGCCGTAGAGCTCCATGCTGCCCCGTTCAGTTTGGGAGAATATTGGCTCACCGCAGAGACGAGCCGCACGAACCATAAACACTGCGAGTTGTGAAGCGCGTTCCATCCGCGAGCCGCATCACCGCGCGGAAAGTGAATGCGTCAAGCATAAACCAAGCTTTAGCTAATACAACAGGCTTAATGGGAGAGACACGGTTGCAGTGTTCTGTGGTGGGGGCAGCTGATGAAGATGAATACTCCAGTTCATGCAGGGACTAAGGCAATAGGCAGGTTCCGTGGTCAGGCATGCAGAGGTCACCACTGGCCACTAGGGTGTGCTGCAATCAAGCCTAGAGGGAAAACGGTGTATTCAGGGACGTGCCTGAAGTCACGTACATGTGACTATCCCTCACTGTACATACTGCTGCCTCTCATTTGGATTGCTGCTGCTCAGCCATCACACTGCTGTCTATCCATGCTACTGCTCGACTTGTATCTGTTAGTCCTCACCTGCTTGTTAAGCTAATGTAATGGTCACATTGTCAGTATGCATGCTATGTTTGCATGCTTTTATTGCATTGCTTAGCTTCGGTCTTCAGCCCATGCTGCTGCTTCCCGCTGCCATTAGCTTCTGCTCACTCAGCTTTGTATGTCGCCGCAGGGCTCCTTCATCTTTGTCAATAAAGCCATTTGACATTGAGGAGTGTATTCCTTCATGAAGGAGCCATGGTGGTCGTCAGATGCTCCGTTCCAGCCTGTACGTTCGCCACCGACGACGTGTCAGAGGCTCTCGCCGTGGCGCTGCTGGCAAACCATGGCCTGGCCCATCAGAGCTGGACCGAACCCGCTGCGCCCGTTCGGGCCCCGGGCCTGCCTGGCCCTGCGCTGGATCGACCGAGAGTGGATATCGGCATGTCCATCGAGGAATGGAACGTTTTTACATGCCGCTGGGACCTCTTCCGTGCTGGCTCAGGCATAGGTGATGCCCAGGCCCCCTTCCAGCTGTTTCAGTGTGCCCGTCCGGAACTTGGGGACAGTTTGCTAAAGGCTAACCCGGATGCTGCAACTGGACCGGTTGAGACTCTGCTGGCTGCCATGCGCTCTCTGACGGTGATACCGGTTGCCACATGCGTTCTGAGGACTGAACTGCTTCAACTACGCCAGGATCGTGACAAGCCCTTTCATGCATTTGCCGCCAGGGTGCGTGGCAAGGCAGAAACCTGCACCTACAACGCTGTGTGCGGATGCGGGCAGTCAGTTGACTATTCTGATCATATTATTCGTGATGTACTGATTAATGGGATTAATGACTCTGATATACGAAGGGACATGTTGAGGACTCATGATGTTCTGTGTAAGTCTGTGAATAATATTATAGCACTGGTGGAGAACAGAGAAATGGCTCGCAATGCCCTCCCCTCCTCCAGCCTGTCAGCCAAGTCCTCGTTCAGGCGCAGACAAGCTATGCCACCATCAGGGCCTGCTTCCTCTCCGGCCCCACCAGACAGGTCTGCTAGGGCTATATGCCCTGATTGTAAAGTGTCTTTCTGTGTTTTTTCTGAGGGATCTCGGGGTTGGAACACCAAGCCTCATTGAATGTGTGCCGACTGCTTCCGGGCCCGGAAGAGACGGGCACGGCACCAGCCACACATGGACGGACAACAGGCTGCTGTAGGCTATGGGCGAATGGAATGCGACTGATAATGAGGAGTCGGTGCATATGGCGTCCATTTGCAGTGACGAACTGGAGTCTGCTGCCATTGCATGGCCACTCTTTGCACATGTAACCAGGTCACCTTAGTTCCCGGAAGTAATTCTGGTTGTACGTGTCATGCCGCTGACACAGGAGAGGCCAGGTGTGTAATCAGAGGGCTGCTATAATTAGGGCAGCTGGGGTCTAGCCGCAAAAGCCGAATGCCTCGCTTTGGGTGCAGACGTGGGTGCAGCTAAGTGGTGAGTGACCTGGCTTTGCTTTATTTTAGTTAAATAAAGGTTATATTCTTAATCGGTTTCTCTTTATGAAGTGTGAGCAGGACTGAGGGGTGAACAACCGGGAATTTACATTGGCAAGCGGTCGGCCGATGAGGTATGGGTTTAGAACATTCATAGCATTTTTGTGCTTCGTTAGAATACGATTAACTATGTGTGTTTGTTCACAGATCTTAGCCTGCTACTGTTTTCCCAGTTCTTCTTATTAAACCTTTTCCGGTTTTATTTTATAATTAGTCGTCTTCTCTAGAGGGGGAAGGAAGGAACACTTTTATGAGACTGGTGGTTAACATTGAGGACAGAGCTGTCTCTGGGAGGGTAGTCGTTTCTTTTAGAGTATCCGCTGTAGGGGTTTGTCGGGGGTTTTACTCACTTCTGGGTGGCGTGTGTATGAGCTTTAGTTAAAGGGAGCACTGGGTGTTTTTCTTTATATTATTGTCTTTTGTGTCGGTTCCCTACAGCGGCCTTGTGCTTTTAAATAGTGGTTGGATGGCGTTGTGTGTGTAGTCCCAGGGCCAGCATTGTCGTCGCTCCTCCCTCCTCTCGTGTTTAGAGTTTTTAGTGTTTAGAGTTTTAGTCTATTTCTTTTATCCCGACCTGGGTTGTTTTTAGTAAATCTTCTGTGCTGTGTCTTAAAAATAAAATTGTTAAACTTGTGAATAATCCTCTGCTGTTTTCATCAAGGGTTATTATTACCTACGGTTTTAGGATCTAAGCATCCAATCCTCTAGGCCACACACAGGAGACGGCCGCGGACGCATGCCTCTCCCACCTCCTGCACCTCATTGAAGACGGGGGCAGCATTGACCCAAAGGACCCGGCGCTGGCCGACCTGTCTAAGGTCTGTGAGTCAGTGTATGCGCAAGATGGGGTCCTGCTGTACTGTGACCGTGTCGTTGTCCCCACGTCCCTTCGTCGTGCGGTACTTCAGCACCTCCACGCCGCCCATCAGGGCAAGTCGGCAATGGAACGATGGGCCTGCTCCATCGTTTACTGGCCTGGGATGTCTAACGACATCCAGTTGACCAGGGAGCGATACGCAGACTGTAACCGCAATGCCCCCTCGCAGGCGGCCACACCTCCCATGCCGGCATCACCGCCATCCACGCCATTTGAGGAGGTGTTTGCAGAGTTCTTCGACTACAGGGGTCACCACTACCTGGCCGTTGGCGATCGCCTCTCCGGCTGGATGGAAGTCATGAGCTCTCCCGCGAGCACCAATCTCGGGGGCTCCATTGGGCTTATACGTCACTTAAGGGCTTTCTTCGCCACGTTTGGTGTGCCCGAGGAGTTGTCAAGTGACAGAGGCCTTCTCGGCAGGGAGCACAGCGGATTTCCTCCGCTTATGGCAGGTCAAGCACCGCGTGTCCTCGGTTGGGTTCCCCCAGTCTAATGGAAGGGCGGAGGTGGCTGTCAAGATGGCGAAGCGCCTACTAGTCTCAAACACCGGCCTGACCGGGAGCCTCCACCATGACCGCTTTCTGCGTGTTATGTTGCAACTGCGTAATACGCCTGACCCCGACTGCAACCTGTCGCCCGTGCAAATCATCTTTGATCGCCCCCTCAGGGACTCGCTGTCGTTTGTTAATAGGCTGGAGAAGTTCTCCAACCCTCACATCCGTCCGCTGTGGCGCCAGGCATGGGCGGCGAAGGAAGAGGCCCTCCGGACTCGGATGGCCCATACCACTGAGTCTCTGAGAGAACACGTACGACCGCTCCGCCCTCTCCTAGTCGGGGAGGCGGTGTTCCTCCAGAACCTAGTTGGCTGTAGCCTGCGGGTATGGGACAGATCTGGGGTGGTAGTAGAGTCACTAGGACACGACCAATACTGTGTCAGGGTCGACAAGTCTGGCCGCCTCACTCTGAGCAACCGGCGCTTTCTCCGTGCCTTCACCCCGGCCACCCTTCGCACTCACCCAGAGAGCGCTGTGCCCCTGCCTGCATCCAACGACGAGACACACGACTTAGGTCCCACCAACCCGGGGTCAGCGGGACCCCTGCCAGATCAGTCGCACACACCACTCGAGCCCCAAAGCACAAACCCCGGCACTGCCCAGCCGGTACCTTGTCGCGACTTCATGTCGGCCAAGAATCCTCCAGACGTAGCCAACGGGGATGCTGCCCCAGCGGAGCAGACACCGGAACAGTGCCCATCACCCCCCTCCTCCCAGCCAGCGGGCTCCTGTCGGGTAAGGCGGCCACCCAAGCGTTATGTACCTGAAACTGGCCAGTGGGTTAGGTCATAAGTCCACTGCGCCGGTGTGTTACATGGCTTCCTGGTCTGGGGGTGATGCAGAGGTCACCACTGGCCACTAGGGTGTGCTGCGATCAGGCCTCGATCTTGCACTGAGCAGCAGGAGCCAGGTGCTTACATAGAGAGCAGCACAGGTGGAATTAATTAGCTAGATTACTGCTGCTGCAGGGAGACAGGAAAACACAGAGATCAGGCCATGATCATGACACTCTTTGACCTTGAATGAAAAATTTCATTAAAAACCTTTTATGCTTTAATCATGTAGGAAACAGCGCTCTTCTCTGCCCTCAGTCTGACGGTGCAGCGTTGGAGTTTGTGCAGCGTGTGCTCTGCTTTAAGCTTGGTTTAAACGTGACGCATGTACATTCCACGTGGAAATGAGAGGCGAGGATGGAACGGGCATCACGGCTTGCAGCGTTTATTTCTACGTTCTGTGGCTTGCCTCCACTGTGGACCAATATTCTCTTAGACTGTCGGGGTCGGCATTGGGCTCTACGGCAATGCATCATAGCAGAAGCATTATTCTCTGTTGCTTCCAACATCTTTCACTCTGTCGTCATCTTTTCCGACTGTGACAGCAATTATTAACAATATTTTGATCACGGTGATCTTTATGGGGCGAATCGTTAAGATGTCTGTACTTAAGAATGTCCGGCACTGCGAGCTCTTGCCAGTCCGTTATTTTTTTCCACGCAGGATAGAAAATTTCCTAGGTGCGAGGTACAGAAACTTTGGGCTGTTCGGAGGCCACGTGGAGTGACGTGGTTGCTGAAATGACATAATTAGATATAATTATAATAAGAGAACCCACCCATGCACAGGGAGAACAAGCAAACTCCATGCAGAAAGACCCCAGGACGGAATTGGAACCTAGGGCCTTCTTGCTGCAAGGCAACAGTTTCACCATGCAGGTTCCCTTATTCCAGCATTTATAAAAGTTCCACTGTTGAATGTGGCAGGGTGAAGGGGCGAGGGCCCGGGCGGGGTTTGATCCCCAGACTCCTGGGTGAGGGTCATGCGTGCTTACCAGTCAGCCAAAGGGACACCCCCTTGGCCAAGTAGCCAGGGCGCATGATCAATCGGGACACTGTGACAGGATGCTGACACTGTCACATAAAGAAAGACTAAATCTGGATGGTATGATCAGAAGGTTTATTCTCACACAGGTTGTAAAAAAATGTCCTAAAAAAACAAGTCTTTGCAGCCCAGATTAAAACAGTTTGTCCCCACCAAACTGGAACTTGAATGGGTGCGTGGTGTCTTATCCTTCCTCTCCTGCAGGGGGGCTTCCACAGATTTCCCTCAGTCTCCACTGCTGATGATAGTCTCTCAAATATGGCCCGACTTCCTCTTCTGGGATAGCCTCATGTTGCATCCACTCCAACGCGTCATCAGCCGGGGGTGTGCCGCTGTCCCGCTCCTCTTCGCTCCACGGCTCTGCCTCTGTCGCTGCGAGGAAAACACAAGGAAATACCTCAGGGGGAGCGTTCACTTCTCCCCAGAATCCACAGGCACGCAGGTTACAGCAACAATATTTCACGTTCCTTTACTTAGCTGTTTGGTAGGCGCTGAATTATTTTGATTTCACGGTTGGATCCTCCCGCGGCATCCTCTGGTTTCTCCCAGGAAACAGAAAGCACCTGTGCTGCAATCCAAGCTGGTTTCAGGAGTGCAGATCCCGCTGTTGCTCTGTTGCTGCACACCCCTCCTTCACCTGTCAGTGTCCTTATAAAAGATCCAACCCCCTCAACGGTCCAATCCCGAGCCGTACAGGTCTGTGATTATGAGCTGCGCAGCTGCTCTCATTTGGAACTTCATTGTCCCATGCTCAA